CGAATCGTCACTGCGCGTTTTTTCCACCGGATATCACGTCGATAGCATCATTCGCGAGCATCATCGTTGCTCGCGCGACGAAGAGCTGACGACGACAATGTCAACGACGATTACGATGACGACGACGACGATGACGGCGAGGAAGACGACGATGACGAAGACGACGGCGGCGGCGACGGTGGGGAGTAGGGTCGTCGAGGGACGAGCGTGATATCTGAAACCGAGAAGAAAAACATCTATGTGTGTTGTGCCATCCAGACACAACGAAAACAAAGCGAGAGGAGAGATCACTGACGAATAGATATCGCGGACGAGACAACTCTGTAACTCGGTAGCGCTGTGCTCGCATGCTGCGCACAATCGATCATCTATCTGCCAATCTGCTCGAGGTGTTTTCTCGAGGCTGCATTTAAGATGCGGCGCGAGAAAAGCGCGAGGAAATGACCGGCGCCGGACTCGCCGGATCGCGCGATCGCGCGAAATCGCTAACGCCGATCGAAAAGTTCGGATGATTCCGCGTTCCGAGGCATCTCTCTCTCTCTCTCTCTCTCTCTCTCACTCATCGCACGACAGCGCGAATCGGGGTCTGATAAAAAAATCGATCGAAGTCGATCGAAGAAACGAAATTCTGATTTAAATTGGAAAATGACATTTACGCTTTACGACGTGTGACGTATGCCTTGAAGAGCGCGGAGAGGAATGGCCGACTCTATCGACTAAACAATTTATAACGGTGACCATGGCGCCGCGTCCTTGTTTTCGGTGATCGGTCACGTCAGTTCTATCTGGAATTCACGTTCCGCAATTTCGTAGATTCTGAGAAAGATTCAATTACAAAACTGTTCTTTAGTCATGAGCGTGTTTAAGCTCGACGATAATGATAATCCACGCGAGCTCTCGAGATCCCCAGCGGAAGATAACGGTCAAACTTCTATATCAGCTGTTACTTGCAGAAATTCGTCTTCTACATCGGAATACAAGGTAAACTTTATTGCAGAAATTTTTTATTACATAACATTTTAGCACGACACTTTATGCTTTTTTTTTTATACATTACTATTCTATACGTTAACTAAGCTCCTGTATATCATACAAATATTTAAACATTAAACATTTTTAAATTAATTTAGTTAAATTTTTAAATTAATGTTCAGTTAATTTAAAAATTTAATTTAAAAATTTAACCAATTAATTAAAAATTAAACACTTTTTAATTAATTTAAAACTGTTATACTTTTAACTATTAAAACAATGATTTTCGCGGAATTGTGTGTTGAAATGAAATGAATTGATAAATTTATATTTATAAAAAATTATCAAGGAGAATCCAGATCACGAAGTTCTAGACATCATGACGGATCTCGTTGCGAAAGTCCAATCCGAAGTGGAGAAATGTGAAAATCGTCGAAACGAGAAAGTGGAAGCAACGAATGACGTCGATGAATACGATGTTCCGCTAATGTCTGTAAATTACAATCGGATATTCGATTTGAGTCATGAAAATTCATCCTACTTTAATTCTAATGTAACAAGCGATTGCGACATGGTTTCCATGTACAACAATTTTGATTACAACGACAAGACAATCCAGGAAGAAGATTCCGATGACAGTGAGAAAACGATTCAAGACGAGTTCTTGATAGACGAGCAATATGCAAATTCTTTGAACAGTTTAACAGAATTGCGAGAAAGTCTTGTTAGTGTTGACGCAACGTACGACAAAATATGTCAAATGAGGCGTGACAGAGAGAAATTTGTTGATTCGGGGATTTCTTCGACTAGTGGACTAATGATAGAAGATAATAGCGAGATTATGAGACAAGCTATCGATAACTACGTCGATTCGTATAAAACAGACGATACTATTGATTACAAAATTATTGAAGAAAACATAAAAAATGAAGAGATGAAGCTTGCACAGAATATTACATATATCAAAAATTCTTTTCAAGAAGAACTAGATATAAAGAACGTAGAATTTAATAATTGTTTTATAAATAATAACGAAAATTATTTTAAAGATCACGTTAATCTTTCGAAATATACTGAAAAAGACAATACGAGGCAAATATTAAGCGCCGAAGATGATACTGTTGAAAAAACAGAGATCAAAGAAATGGATTGTGGGAAGGTAATTAAGAATCTTTTGTGTAACAGTGACGACGAACATCATGATTCGACGGAAGAGCAAATGATAGAAAACTTATCCGCCAAGATGGAAGACGATCACGATGACGTGATGAGGAAAATTGTTGAGAACTGTTCCCACACTCCCACGAATTTTCAGCAACATTCGCCAATCCACGAAAACTTCAACATGGATCCCGAACAATCGAATAGCGAATATATAATCAAGAAATTTCAAGGTGACGAGCTTCTCTCGCATCGTCGCGTCGTTTCTGAGAGTGCCATAGCTAAAGAAGATATATTAAAGACCATCGAGGAAGCGAAAAAGATATTAAGTGAAAATCCTTATTGGGATACGTCAGAGACAACGGATAATCAGATTGAAATTTGCGACAAGGATAATTCATCGGAAAAATCCACGGAAGAAATAAATAACGATAAAAATTGCGAAAAAGTAAATGAAACAATTAATAAAAAAGGAACTGATTTAACCGAGAATGAAGATACGATAAATTCAGCAAATACGATAATTGAAAAGATTGCAGTCTCGGGGTCTGACATCGTCGAGAGCAATTTGCAAAAATTAGCTGAAATTACATGTTCAGATCGTCCAAGGTCAAGCGTTGAGATTCGGGAAACTTTGGAGAAGATAGCCGAAGAGAAGAGAAAAATAGAGGATCGAAAGAAGGAATCGCTGGAGACGCTGTCGAAGAAATTCGAGGAGATCGACAAGCTCATCGCCGATCATAACTCTACTTCTCATGTATCTGAGAATGATTTCTGTAAACTCGAAACGCCGGAAGATTTCGCTGCCGATTCCGACAGTCTCGACGAATTTCAAGTTCAGATTGATACTAAAAATCTCGAGGTTCCTCTAACGAAGTCGGAAATAACCGAGAGCCTGATAATCGAGGAGTTGGAAAAAGAGCTCGTGGATGAGATGGAGGAACATAAAAAACTGATGGACGAATATCAGGAAATCATTACTATGGATTTAGATAAGATCCAGCAGACTCTAGAGTCAGAATCGACGCCACCTCACAGTGACGTGAATATCGATGAAGAAATTAAAGATAAACGTAAAGATGATGAAAAGACAAATGACGAATTTTTAAATGAAGAATCTAAGATGACGATTGATATCAATTCGGAATCCGACGATTCTTTTTTGGAAGATTTCAAGGAACCAGAAAAGACATACATCAAAGGAAAGGTTTATGATTTCGATGAGAAGAAACACGGTGTTAGGTGAGAAACCTCGAAACACTAATTCATAACACATTTTTCTTAACGCTGAATTAATAATGAATAATAATTTCAGGATGACAGAAGAACTTATCAGGAAACACTGCAAGGAGCACAAACTCTATCAGACCCCGTATTTGAATGACGTTCTGTATTTGCATTATAAAGGCACGCACAGATTCTCAGTCGCGTATGTCGAATATGTTGATCGTCATCGATATCGTGAGAATTTACCCTTTTCAGGATTTTCCTTCATCGAGAACCTCGAAAAGTACACGGGTCTGAAGTGTCTGTGGCTGGAGAGCAACGGTATACGCGAGATCGCTAATCTGGAAAATCAGAGCAAACTCAAGTGTCTGTACCTGCACCACAACCTCATCGGCAGGATCGAGAATCTCGACTGTCTGACGAAGCTCGACACCCTGAACCTCTCGCATAACATGATACGGAGGATCGAGAATCTCGGTGACTTGAGTCGCAAAGCGGGTATTATCCCAGATAACCTTGACCTTGACGTGTCTCTGCTTTTCAGACAGCCTCAAGTTCCTGAACAACTTAAACCTGTCGCACAACTATCTGCGAGAAACCGCTGACGTCGAGCATCTCCGTCTGCTGCACGCGCTCTCGATCCTGGACATCTCTCACAACAAGATTGACACCTGCGACATCGTTGACGTAAGCCGATAATTACGCGTTGGTGCGAGCACGCGAGCACGCAATATCGGGATATATATATATCGCCAAAATGGCAGATGACGTTACGTGGCAGAACGCAGTTTTCAATTTAGATTTTTCATCAATTTCGTCCTCTTAAAGCTTGAAAATACGAAGCTTATTTAATCGTGTATACGTAACAAAGTTACATGTACTGTTGTAAAATATTTCTACGACGTGGCGCGATCTCGCTTTTGGAAAAAGCGTTTGAGCGAAAGATGGATGGATCTTAGATTCTAGGAGACATGAAGTCGCTGCGCGTCCTGACGTTGACCGGCAATCCGGTGCTCAAGCAGATAAAGATGTACCGCAAGACGATGATCCTCAAATGCAAGAATCTTCAGTATCTAGACGATCGACCGGTATTCCCGCGCGATCGTGCCTGCGCCGAGGCTTGGTAAATTTATCAGGAAAAAAACGACCCGCAAGGAAGTGATCTCTCGTTAATCTTAAAATATCTCTGAATTCAGGATGCGCGGCGGCATCGACGAGGAGGTGGCCGAGAGGAATCGGTGGATCCAGGCGGAGCAGAAAAAGATCAACGACAGTGTCATGGGTGAGTTGAAAGATTCGTTAATTCGTGGCGGTTACTCGAAATGGCCGTCCTTATCCCCTTTGACTCCTCTCGCCTGTTCTGCTCCTCCGAGACTCATCGTTCTCGATCTTTGTTTACCTGTCGACCGGCGCGTCCACCCTCGAAAGCCCTGATAAACAAAAGGAAGCTGTGCAAACCGGTCGGGACGTCCGAAAAGGAGGCGGGCAAGAAGAAGAAGGAGGAGGCGTACGAGGAGGAGGAGGAGAAGGACGAAGAAGTCGCCACGAAATCAAGCGTGCGCACCGCAACGAGGAGCAGCGGACTGGTAAGAACTAGTTTTCGTCAAGGTCTGGTACAGAATTCGTGCTTCGAATAATATCACCACCATCGGTCCCGTCGGCTATTTGATCATTCACCACGTGAAACCCGCACACCTCCCGATCTCCTGCATCTCCCTCTGATACCGGCCACGATGAACACACCGAAGCTCGACCTGGAGAGGAAGAAAAAGTTCGGGGAGCGATCCTTCCTCGGTTCCTACAGCTCTCCATCGTCGTCGTCGTCGTCGTCGTCGTCGTCATCGTCGTCATCGTTGGAAGAAGAACAGCTCGCGGGCGACGAAGAAAACGAGCGCGTGCGGCAAAAAGGAGGCGAGGAAAGTGACGGAAGGAGACCAATGGCGGAGGAAGAGAGAAAAGTTCCCAATGGAAACAACGGGGAGCTTCTGCTCCCCTGGAAAGCCGAGGTATGCGATTCTTATCTTCTTATGACAAGGGTGGGAATTTAAGGAAGAAAAAGTTGTTCACCTATTCCTCGTAACTAGGCTCGAGAAGAAATTCAACCGCGGACACTAATCGAAGAAATATCGGAATCCAAACAGAACGTTATCAACGATGCGAAAAAAGAATGTCATGAGAAAGAAATTTTGGATAGTCGTGATTCATTTGGTAATTATAACGTGAACATGGAGACTGCAGCTTGCGAGAAAGTGGCGTTAAAATCAGAAATAGGAAAAGAAAAGATATCAGATTTACAAGAATCGATCAATGACAATAATAAAGTAAATGGTGAGAGCAGATTACATATTGATAAATTAATATGATAAATTAAATTGTTTTTATTATATCCTTATAGATATATTTTAAACTTAACTGGCAATAATTGTACGTGCAATTATAGAAAAAAAACTCGATATTATTTGTTATTTTTATCATGATTCAACTCGACAGTTGAAATCGTTTTTTGCAGATTTCAAAAACGAGAGAACAGCTACCTGTTCGGTGTCGTGCGATACTTCGGATCTAAAACAGACATTAGAGGAGGATCAGAAACTCGCGAGCGCGATTGCCGACGTAACAGACGATGCATCGAGCGAAAATATCAAGAGCTATCAAAGGAAAAACAAAGACTGTCCATTCGGTTCTAAACTTAGCGACATTCGAGAAGAGATGAAAGAATTCTGCGACAGTATGGATAGGTTTGTTGACGAAAACAGGATAGTGTTCAAGAATGGCGAGGTAGAGGGATTCTGGGGCGAGAGAAAGATGGTGGACGAGAATTTGCAGACTGATTTTATTGATGATAAAAAGATCCAAGAAACCGGGACCAAGGTTTCCGCGAGCGAGAAGGATGAAGCACTGCGATGGTGGAGTACCAAGGAAAGAAAACTGAAGGTCAAGGAGATCCTAAAGAAACGAGAGGATGAAGCAAAGAGAAACAAAATGCAGGCAGAAGATGCCGAAATAAATGAAAAATTCGATCGCTGTTCATCAAACGATGGAGGTCAAACGACTATCACAGATGTTAACTTCCAGAATGCCTACGATTTGATGACATTAAAGACGTCTTTGACAAATGTTCTTCCGGACTCGACAGAAACGTGTTCCGTAAAAAACATTGAAAATTATGCAAGCGAACAATCTATAAAAACACAACAAGAATCACGTGGATTCTTTAACAGTCTTTTGGATGAATCGAGAAATCAAAGCAACATAAAGGAAATATGTGAACCGAAAGTTTCAAATGATTTAATGATTTTAGAGGAAAAATTGAATTGTAAAGAATCGACCATTGATACAGAAAAGAAGAATATTTCTGTCAATATGAATGATCTGATTGATTCCGATCGATCATCTTCAAAATGTGAAACCATTCTGAAGGCAGATGATTCTGCAAAAATCGAAATTTTGGAAGACAAATTTAACAATCTTACGCTTGAATGTTCAGAAGGGAAAAAGGTATTGATGAATCCGACGACGATTCCTTTAAGACGGCAACGTCTATTCAAGAAGATTCACAAATTTCAGAAGGCAATCAAGAATCATCAGAAGTTTTAAGATTGACTAATGTAGAAAATAATTTGGACAAAAATATCGATTCAATTGAAAATGAAAATATGGACGACGACAACACGATTTCCAAGAATGAAAAAATCAATGATAAAACAGATAAAATGGAGATGTTAAAAAACCTAGAATTTTCAACTGAACAATTTAATTCTCAGATAGGATCACGCGCGCTCATGCAAACGATAGATCATTTATCCCTAGAAAAAGTGAGTCAATCTTCAAAACTGACGGGTAAAAGAATTCGCGAAGCCGAGGATGTCGCGGTCAGCAACAAGAAATCTTTCCTTATTGAAGAAACGAATGCCGGAAGAAAGATGGAGGAATGCAAATCGCGCAGCCAAATCTCTGAAAGATGTAGACAGCATCTGATACAGGAAACGAAGAAATTCGCGAAGAAGGTGTCGCCGTTGATCGACAAATGCATATCGAATCTGATAAAAGACGCGGAAAATGCAGGCGAAAAAGTGCAATGTCCAAAATATCGAAGAAGTCTCGGAGACTTGCCATTCGACTACGCTTCAAAAATGGATCTTAACGACCCCGCGGGCAATTCTATAAAACGAGACAATTGTCACGGACGTAGCAACAAATCGAACGATGTAACACACACGTATTCTGAAAAGCAAGAATTGATGACGAAACAAACGATCGATTCGGAATTCGCTGCTTCAGCTAATATTTCTGGTAAAAAATGCATATTTATATATAAGTAAATATAAAAAGTGTGCAGTTTGTATGTATTAAAAAATATATAGAATTGTATTTCTGTTTTAGATATTCAATCGCTCGCCGATCTTTTACGACAATCCCACAACTCGGAATTATCAGCAGTGAATGCCGATGTATCGATTTACAAAGAATTTTGTAATCATTTGCATGAATTAGAGAGCAAAAAGAAACTGTTGATTAAGCCAGATTTCACAATGGACAATCAAGAACCAAAAGAAATATTATGTGATGATAAGTTTTTGCAAAAAACAGAATGTTTTAGCGAGAAATCAGTCGAACCGTTGATCGAAATGATTTCTGAGTGTTCCACTTTTGAAGATTCAGGACAAACTTTGGAGGAAAGAGAAATTAAACAATCGCATAATCCAGAAACTATTTTCCAACAAAAAGATGTTAGTACATTGTTTAATAGCATATTATTTAAAAAATTAATGCTCCACAATATATATTAAAAAATTATTATATATACATAAAGTTTCTTGTGCTTTCAATTTATTATTTATTTATTAAAATTTATTTTTATTAATTTATTTTATAATATATTATAAATAATTATAATACATATTATAAATTTATTTTTATTTATTAAAATTTTTAATTGATTCAACATAATATCGATTTGTACTTTACCTTTAGGCTACCTTCAGAAAGTTGTCCGAGGAAGCAGTTGAGATTGTCCATAATTCTGAAAAGCATGCTGATCAAGAAAGCACAGTTGATTTAAAGAAAGAAATGAAGGTCGAAACATCATGTACAGTAGAAAACGCAAAATGTAAGGAAAAGTGTGTGCCGCCAGATGAGAAATGCAAAACCGCCGTGATAAATGTGAAAAAGAGTATAGAAATGCAAGTTGCACAGGAGAATTAGAATGAGTTAAAGTTTTACTCTGTTACTTTTAGATAAACAATCGTCATTAGTATACTTAACACAGAGACGTATTGTAAAACTAGCTGAAATGAATCTACTAACGTTTAGGGAGCAGAAATCTTTGCGCAATCGAAGGATCGATAAATAACAAAATGTTCATTAGTTTTAAGTTCGTAGAATGTTCAACATTTCTCTTGCTCTATTTGAAATAAATGTGTTACCCTTATAAGGCTCGTTTTGAAAAACGAGGACTTTGAAACTTCGAAAGAAACGATTAGGTGGTGGAACGGATAGACCTTCTACTACGTACACTTTATTTTTGTGTCCACACTCACATCAATTATATAATAATAATAATAATCATAATAATGACGATGGCGGCGATGTCGATGAATCATAATTAATAATAGTAATAATAATTAATCCGTAATTATGCGCAATGATAACCGGTTTCGCACGCGAAAGAAACGGTAATTCTGTCACGTTTAAATATATTATATCTTTACCGTCGCCTCCCTTGTCAGCCTATGGCCTCCGAATCGATCGCAGATGGATCTCGAATCCATTTATTCCCGCAGAAGCTATCACCTTGTCACTCGGCAAGAAGCTCTTGATATTATAATATATTTATATAGAGAGTGATACTGCGTGTAACGAAACTGTCCTTCCCACCTGTCCTCCCCCTCCCCTCTCCTCTCCTCCCTCTTCGTCGTCCGACCTCTTTCTCCGTTCATCACTTCCGGTTTTCATCCGTATCCCATTTCATTTCATTTCATTATTATGCAGGGGATTTTTATACGAACCGTGTTTCCCTCCCTCCTTCTCGTTTCCCAGACAAACGTAAAGATTACATACCCGCTAGGATCGTTTATAGTAATAGATTTATAAATATGCACGTATATATCACCTCGCTCCTCCGCACAGGCACGCAAAAATCAAATTTGGTATTTCGTCCGTTCTCTCTCTCTCTCTCTTTCTTTTTTTTTTCGTTTTTTTTTTACTTTTTTTTTTTTTTAATCCCTTTTCG